TTGAAGTTTTAATAATTAGCTGAGCTATATCTGAAGTGAAGGCGGAAAGTGAATTACACTCAATCTTTAGAAACTCTGGATTTAAAAAAAAAAAAAAAAAAAAAACCTGTATACTTACATTGGTATTGTTGCTTCCATCCATAGAGGCAGAATGGAGCTGTTTTAATGAAATTAATAATTGCAGACTTATTTTTCATACCCTTTTCTTAATAATTGCAGCCATTGCACTTGAGTAACTCTTAGCAGTTTTGCTACTGGGAAACATTTTTCTAAATAAAGCTGCAGCATAATCCAATGTATTCAGGTGACAGGTTATGCTCCAGTAAAAAGCCAGAGAAGAGGCATTCGGAATGTCATCTGTGTAAAAAAGTACTTTTGAAAAGCACTTAAGTATTTTATCTTTTTTGCATAACTAAAACAAAAGATCACTGTTTCTTAAACTTTTCTCAAAATCATGTGAAACTCGCATTGCTCAGCAGCAACACAAAATTGCTTTCTGCTCATTGATAAATACAGTCAAAAGTCGTTAATTCGGACACCCATAATCCGGACCTCAAAACTACAAACTTTCTGTGCATGCGTCGCATTGACGCATGCGCATAGGCGTTTTGCGCACTCGTATAAGACTTTTACGGCTGCGCATTTGCGTGTGCGCAAGCGCAGAATACGTTTTTGCGTGCGCGTTTTATGTATAACGGACGGTATATGCTAAAATTATCTATTTCAGTTAATGTTGATGATATGGTTGTTCCTTAATCTTCGAATTGGATCAGGCTTATTATTTTTTGCAGACTGTAAGAGCAATTTTATAAAAGTAAACTTGAACTTTCGATTATGTCAAATAGAATTTCCGATGCTGGAGCTCCCAAAGGATCTACAAAGCGAAAGTATGTTTCGATGTCCATCAAACAAAAAGTGGAATTGGATAAAGGCATGAAGAAAGTGACAGAGAGGTTAGTGAAAACGAAAAAATTTCGATCGACAAGTTAGTCGGTATTCTCAGCACAGCAATTACAGGACTTGAACAGAGGAAGTTTGTAACTGAACAAGAAATTATGTCTGTTTATATAGAATTAAAGAGAAAGTATTAGCACATAAAACAAAGCAACTTAAACAACTTACATTGAAAGAAATGTTTAATAAAGTAAACAAATAAATATTAAACTTTTTTTTTTTTTTTTTTGTAAATTTTGATACCTTTTAGATCATAATTGTTCTTTATTTCATAAATTACGGTTTCATATTTTTAATTCTAAAATTTCTGCATGCCATCTTACCAGATTTAAACTAATGATCTATAATCCGGAAAAATCAATAATCCAGAATCGCCGAAGTCCCAACGAGTCTGGATTAACGACTGTTGACTGTATATGCCAGATAACTCACAGCAGTGCTTGATGATCACTGGAGAACTGGAACACTTTTGCAGACATGTGCTCTCACAAACAAAACAGAGAAGCAAGGCGTAATGACTCACTGATGAAATGATTTTGGTTTTCTTTTATATGTTAATCTAGAGAAAATCATGCACTTCAGATGCCCAAAATCACTTTTTTGGGTGCAAATAATGAAATATAAATCCAAGATACATAAAAATCATATGAAATTTAATAAGAAAATCGGAAAATATGCTACACATATATATATATATATATATGGAGGATTATATTCGAAAATTGGGAGTTTCCTGCCCAAAATCAGGAGAACTGGAAATTTTGCCATACACATAAGCTTGATGTTTTAAATCATATATCAGTTTTATAATAATAATAATAAAATTAATATTGTGAATAAATATTCTTATACAGATGCTTTATTTTTCTTTCCCCCCCATATAAAATATCAATGATATTTATTACCTTCAATGTAAAAATTTTTAGATAACCACTGATAGAATTTGAGATGGCCAATTCGTAAATCACATCTAATTATTCAATTTATGGAAAAAAAAACAGATGTATTACTCACATAATTAACAATGTCGTTCAGCTTTTTTAAAGCCTGTTCCCTCGGAAGGGGTTCGGCAAGATATAGATGCTTTATCGGTGACAGAGTATCACAACATATAGTTAGTTCAGGAATCCTACAATTGAAAATAAACAGATATCCAAGGGTTATTTCAGCATGAGTCAAATTATTGTGCACAGTTCAGCAATTTAAAAACAAGATTATGAAACTTACTTGAGAAGATGTTCTTGCATGTATATACAATTTTCTTTCAGGTCATGTACAATATCTGTAAATAAGTATATATTTGTTCTTAGATCATTCATAAGGACTTACGAATTTTAAAAGAACAAATAGCATTACTCAGAAAAAAAAAAAGTTCATTGATAACATAATGAGAACATCAAAACATTTTATTGACCTTATATATGACAATAGTAATTCATATCTATTAAATTCTGTAAGAAAAATTTGTAAAGAATTACACTATGAATAAGTTGCTTCGTTTCATGTGATAATACTTTCTCTTTAATTCTATTAAACAGACATAATTTCTTGTTTATTTACAAAGTTCCGCTGTTCAAGTCCTATAATTGCTGTGTCGAGAATATCGACTAATTTGACAATCGAAATTTTTTCGTTTTCAATAACCTCCGTTACTTTCTTCACTATCGGAAGCGAATTATAATGACAAGGAACTTGTTTTAAATCGTATCAAAAGACGGAGCACATTGAGATGAAATACTACATTTAGTAAGGAATTACAAGCCAAATAAAATAAAAACATCTGCCTTGAAGATAAGGATAGTGCTGACAGATCAACTTCCAATTCATTGCGCACCGCGGCGATCCCCCCGCCGAGCAGCGTTAAATTGATAAACAGATTTCGGATTTCGAAATATACTTTTGCTTTAGATCCTTTACATATTAGCAAATATATGTTGGAAATTCTATTTGATATAATCAGAAGTTCAAGCTTACTTTTATAAAATTGCTCTAACAGTCTCCAAAAAATAATAAGCCGGATCCAATTCGAAGATTAAGGAACAACGCAATCTGCAACATTAACTGAATTAGATAATTTTAGCTTAGCTTATACCATCCGTTTTACATTAAACGCGCATGCGTAAACGTTTTATGCGCACACGCATATTCACAGCCGTAAAGGTCTTACACGCACACGTAAACGCCTATGCACATGCATCAACGCGACGCATGCGCAGAAAGTTTGTAGCTTTGAGGTCCGGATTATGGGTGTCCGTATCAACTTTTGACTGTACTCTAATTTTGTTCTTTTGAGAAAGAAATGAAATCACAAACAGTTTACAGCATGAAAAACAAACTGGCAGATGCTGGAATACATTCAGAGCATCAAAACATTATTTTTCTCATTCGATGCTACATATAGATATGTCTCTTTCTTTTTAGACCATCTGTTGTTCCGCTGCTGTTAAGACTGCAGACTTCCCCATTTATACTTTGGAAGTCCTTCTATCAAAAGATTACAATTATCTTTAAATTCTATAGCAAATGAAACTGTGGATTCAAATAGCATTCATGTTAGTTCTAACAAAATTTTAATTAATAACCTTTCTTTCTTTCCCTAATTACTACACTTTCAAGTAAAATGAATCATTTGAGACACATTTACAGTAAGCAAAGATGCCATTTGACTATACAGTTATTTCTTGTTATTAATGAATTGAATTATTGAAAAAAAAAGGAGTGAATTCTCTTTCCAAGAACAGCACTGTCATTTGCAAGAAACCAGTTACTTAGCAGTATTGGTATTTTGCAATTCAATGCAAAATTGCAGGGAGGGGAACTGAGTTAGTCATATTTCTGTTACCAGAAAATTTCAAAATGTAAGCACAATGATAATAGGCCACAATGCAGTCAAACTGACTAACTCTCATGGCGGTGTTACTTGCTTCATCATCTTTAAAATATTTAATTAATGCTTCATAACCTAATTATTAATCATCTTAATTATTGCTTTCAGGGTAAAATTCATTTTTTACAACAGGAAAAATATCTTGAAATTTGTCATGATGTTTTACAGATCTAGAAAATGTGTATATTGTTATTATCAAAGTTTCAATATCTTTCTTTAATTAACTTCTTTTGAAGCATTGCATATACCACAAATATTCACGATGTGTAACACATTGAACCAAATGTGGTATATTTTCTTTTCGTTTTTGTGCCACTCCATCTATTTTACCTAGCACAACAACTGCCTCACCAAAAGTAAACATAACCATTTTTTTGTAAATCAATATTATTTTCTCTAAAATTTCTGTATTGCAGAAACAATTGAAAAAGCATCATAAGATTTTTATTGAATTATTCCATCAAAAATAGTTTCATGCTGATAATTATGTCGACATCTAAATTGTAAGTACAATATTTAACATTTGGTGATAGAAATGTCAGCACTTTCATCAACAGTTAGATGCCTTGAGTTCTTTTACCATGGCAGTTTTTACTGTGCAATTAATTATTTCTAAAAATGCAAATACACAACTTTTAATTCATGAATTTTCTGGAATTTTAAAATATTTTGAAGTATAATCATTTATATCCTGTGCAAAGCACAATGAAATGTTCATTTTAATTGCTACTATGAATTTAATTGCTACATTATGAATTTTACTATTTTCATTTCTTCACGAATGGATTTTTCTTTTGATGTTCATCCAAGGTCTCATTTAATAAATGCACTAATCCCTTTGCTGGTAGCAAGGAATTTTTTCTTCTTAATTTTGTTACACTTTCCACATGAGATTTACTTTTTAAATGACATTTTAAAAAATCCAATTATCTGTCCTTTTTTCCCTCCATATCAAAATCATCTCCATACCGACATCATGCATCTCCCATATCCATCAAGAAAGTAAATACTAATAACTCCATTTTCTCCGCCATATAAATATATTTCCCATAATGGAATTTGTAAATTACTTTTACTGTTTGGTATCCCTGTTTCAACTATTCACCATATTTGCCAGCATACAAGACGTACTTTTTGCCTTTGAAAATAGGTGTGAAAAACAGGGTGCATCTTATACATTGATACTCAGTTTTTGATTGCATTCATTTCTGGAAATTTTCTCTATTCAGAGTTATGTGATTTTTTCTTTCTTCCTTGCGTTAGTGTGGGAATATTACAGTTACGTAGAGTTCAGTGAATGCGCATGCACTGTCATCGATGACCACAGCTGGGTTCATTTAAACTTTCCATTTTTTGTGAATGGCTTTTAAGTGTATAAAATTTCTACTGTTCAATTTTCTTAAATTTGTTGACAAGTCATGGCACAAAAAAACCAACACTGGCATTGCAATAACAATTTGTTGTATGAGAACTCAGGTACTGATTTAGAAGAGGTTTCAAGTGACTCTTCATTTAGCTCTGGAGATGAGTGTCTGGGTTTTGGCGAAGATTAAAAGGTGTTGTTTCCCAGATAGATTGGGTATTTGCAAAAAGTATTACTTTTTATTTGTATTACTTAATATTCAAAAATACTGTAAATTCATTATACTGGTCAGTAATAAAGTCTTATCCTTCAAAAATGTGTATAAGAAAGGGGGTGTCTTATAGGGCAGTGAGTCTTATATGCAGGAAATACGGTAATTAAGCCATTTGATTTTAAAATCACTAGTTGTTTTTCTTCTTTTTATAACGTTTTACATGATTTATATATAAATATATGAAAACAAACTACGATGTATAAATACATATATTATTAGCTACACTTGCAGACAACGTACCACATGTTAGTTCTCTTTAACAATGCTTACATTACTTACATTAGGAGACAGCAAAAGTACACCAGCACCATTCCCTACAGTTGCATGGGGCAACACAAGCATGTGTGTTAAATGTGCACTCTCTCTGAGACACACTCTCGATGAAGCGCACACTCACACTGACTGCGGACCAGCAGGGTTTATATAGTTTTCGGCTTGTGTTCGAGAACATTCTGGGCTAAACTGGTAAGAATTCGTTCCAGAAGGTTCTCTATCCGTCCATGGCATACGCCAATTTTGTCGCCAAATGGCCGATTTATCGTCAAATGTGGCAACCCTAAAACTGCTTTGCGGGGAAGCCATCCCACCACGCCTGTACATTTCATAACACTATTTAATATGATTTATTTTAAAAATAATGTACAAATAATTATTTTCTTTACTATTACTTTGATTAGCGGCATGCTTGTGTGTGCACTTGTTATTTTTCATTGTGTGCTCAATTTTTAAAGGTGTGAGAGTACACTCGCGCACAGCTCACCAGGAACTCTGATAGTAGCAGATCTGATTACCATACTTTGGGGCCTGGATTTGAATCTTAAAAAAGGTATGGATGTTTGCAAGTGTATTGCATCTTTATGGCACGGGAGCTCTTGAAACATTGCTGAGTCAAACGTCTTCTCCCAAGGCTGGTGGAAGAGAAAGAGAGGTGATGGGTTCTCAGATGTGTCTCAAAGGCTAAAGTGTGATCATGGCTAACACCAATGCAATCAATGCACCATACTTGCTAGGTGCAACTCCCAAGCCAGCAGGTGTTGAAAAGTGACATACAGGAATCTCAGTTAGTCAGGAGAAAATCACATTTACGCTCACCTTATTTTTGTTATTATATTTTTTGTTCCTAGACTTTGTAAAGGGGAATTTTTCTATTACTTTGTTTATTTATTTCTTCTTACTATTATTCTGGTGGTCCAAAGGTTTGGATATTAGATCATTCCAGATATTTGACATCCAGAATTCAGACTTTGTACTGCATATTGTAGAGCACAAGAATAGCATTTCTTCATTTTTCAGCCACCTCTGGAAGATTGAGTTAAAATGACAGAATTTCTTATTTTCATAGATACTAGAGAGTACATTTTAGTGTATAATATTGTTTTACAATACATACTTTATTATGGTTATTATTATACTTATAGTATGCTATAAAGTAATGTAATTGCAAAATAATTTTAATTAATTTGTTGTTTGCAATGTCTTACTTCCATTATTTATGAATAAAACAATCATAATCACATATTTTACAAGAATATCTTGTTTTATATAACATTCACTATTATCAGCAACAATTCTTTAAATATATTTATTACCCATGGACAAAGTGCAGTGCTGCATATATTTAACTCCTTTTTCATGAAGGGGAAACTTAATAACTTGGACTCTAACACCTTCAATTAAAATTTAATAAAAACTTTTCTTGATTTTAGTGGAATATTTTATTATTTCATGAAGTATTAATTAGTCTAAAACAATATCTGGCTTACAAGTTTATGTTGCATTGTATTTATTGTATAACAGGATTCGACTAAATGCATAGTCAAAAGACTTGTTTCACAGGAAAAATACAGAAAACGTATAGGTTCTTCTAATTTTAATTTTTTTTAATTTAACACCATACACTGTTGTTTATAAGATAGATAAATAGATTCACTGATAAGCTACTACTATGGATTAGCAAAAGGTAAAAAAAGAAAAGATTTATCTTACTCCAGACCTAGGCATGACCGTCATTAGTCTGTGACCAGTAGCCAATACAATTCAGAAACATTAGAAAAGTACAATAATTTTTGACAGTATTAGCTATTGCCACGTCATTAAGTCCAGAACAAGTGTCCAAATGGTCACTTCACATCATGAATATCGCATAATAGGCAAGATGGAGAGTCTGCTAAACCAAATCTGTATACGTGTTTCATGTGGTAATCATATCCAGTTTTTAATCTAAAGTTAGCAGCAACGACAGGTCTAGGTAGGTCAGAAGGAATGGGATTCTTCATTAGGGAATAACAGATCTTCCCCTTCACACAGTCCCTATTCTTCTCTTGAAGATGAGTTCCACATTTGGCTAAAATGATTCTCTTAGCAATGTGATAGCAAACAGAAGATTTGGCTTAAGGAAGGATAGATCCAGCTTTGGCCAAAGTGTCAGCAAACTCATTACTCGTATTCTCACAATGACTTAAATCCACTGCAGAGTAACATTAAGACCATTATTTATAAGAGAATTTATCACAAGCTGACAAGAACAGACCCACTGTTTGAAAGTAAAGCTGAAAAAACTGCTTTAATAATGGCCTGCGAATCAATAAATATCACAATGTTCTGATCATCTCTTTTACTGATTTCAGTCAAGGCCAATTGGACAGCAGCTACTTCAGTATCATAGTTGGTACAATTTTCCACCACCAGCCCTGCTAAGGCGCCGAGAGTAAACCTCTGCACCAGCAATACTATTAGCACCTATAGCAGAACCATCAATGTACACATGCAAACAATGTGTTGTTGAAAATCTTTCTCCAATAGTGGCCAAAACAGCAACCCTCAATTCTGTCTCAGTGTAGGACTTTTTACTGGTGGGCAGACTAAGTCTAAATTATAATTTGCTGAGTTCAAATGTTTTAGAAACAAACCAGTCTCAAGTAGTGACTGTCTGTTGAAAGAAGGGTTATGAAAAAAAAAATCAGTCAGTTAATTTGTCACATGTAAAAACATAGGTTGGGATTTTAACCTAAGATTTCCAGAAATCACCACACAACAATCCCTTAACCAACTTGATTCTTATACGCAGAAGGATAGCGACAGACGGCAGCTAAGATGATATGCATAATTAATGATCTGGTATATGAAACATATGTTTCTATTGTTTGATGTAATACATATGGATTTTTGAATGCAATACCAGATCTCAGAATCAGAAATTTAATAGTAGTCAGATTTAGAAATTCAACAGTAAAATAAATAATGAATGTATAAATAAACCTGAATTTCCTAATTATGATCCACAAGGCAAAATTCAATTTTGGGGAACATGGTAAAATATTAATAATAAATAAAGTAATGTCATAGAAAAGTCCAAAAAGATACTCATTCTTTATGAAACCCTTAATTTTCTTAGTTAACCAAAAAAAAAAAAAAAATTCCCTATAAAATTTTTGAAGAAATCCTTATTTAAGTAACATCTAATCTAGAACGAGTCAGCTACTCAGGGATAGTCATTTCATTCTATACCGATTAATCTATATCATTGTCGTGAAATTTATTGCTCATGTTACTGAATGTTACTGCTTTAGTGAACTAAGTTTCTATAAGCCTACAAATGCAGATGAACCCCCTCCATAAAATAAAATAAAAAAACAATAATTTTCAGTTCATTTTTTAATTTTAACTTTTGTCTTACAATTTCCTTTTCAATACTCAACCTTTGGTACTTGAAGATAATTAATAAATATTAAGACCACTGCCACAAAATTTTAGTCAGATATTAATATGCAACTATCAAAACATCAGCCATAGAAGTAGGGCTTATCATTTAATGGGATGTTATTTAATAGCCTTAAAATAAATCTGTATACATTATTTGCGACAATATAGTTATTTTATTCACTATTTCTGTAAGTAAAATTATGTTTCAGTTTTATCAATTAAAATTTTCAAAATCTGTAGTTTATATTTTTGATATGTTGGATTTGTTTAATTATTATCTTTTAATAACCTACAAATAAATATTTCGTTTACAAATTGTTTAATTGTTAGCTTTTAATATCCTACAAATAAATATTTAATTTAGGAATAGAAAGCATACATATATAGGGATTCACATATTTAGAAAGTTAAGCCTCAGCGGATCCACAAGCAAAAAAAAAAAAAAAAAAAAAAAAAAAAAAAAAAAAAAATTTCAGAAACCTTGAGATAAAACTAAAACAAATACGCATAAAACTATGAAAGAACTTACAAGAAAAGTGAAGTTTTAAAATCAAAAACCCAAGAATACATGTTTTAATATATGAGGTAGGATTCAAAAGTTCCTGGACCGAGTCTATAATGTAAAAAATATTATGAATTAAATTGCAGAAACACATCCTCTTTCGAAATAAGACCCTTGTGCAACAACACACTTTTGCCAGAGCCTGTAAAGTTCATTGAAGCATGTCTAGAATCCATTTTTGGCCATGTCCTTTAATTCAACCTGCAATGCACATTTAACTTCATCTGAAGATTGAAATCGATGACCTTGCAAGCATCTTGCCAGTTTAGGCAATAGGAAGAAATCACAGGGTGCTAGATCAGGTGAGTAAGGAGTATGACTCAAAACACTTGTTCTCATTTTCGCAAGAAAGTCATTGACGAGCAGGAATCAGTGAGCAGGAGCATTGTCATGCAACAGCACCTACGACTGCTCAGCCCACATCTTTTGTCTCTTCTTCTGGATCGACTCATACAAACAACACAGGATTTCGATGTAGAGTTCTTTGTTCACAGTGCGCCCTTCAGGGATATATTCCAGATGCACAGTGCCCTATATATCGAAGAATACCTCTAGCATGACCTTTCCTTTAGAGCTATCTTGGCGGAATTTCTGCTTCCGTGTGGAGATTGTTGTGATTTCCACGTTACCGATGCTCTCTTGGTTTGTGGGTCGTACAAAAAACACCATTTCTCGTCTCCAATAACAATTCTGCCTAGTAGGGAAGGATATTTGTCAACAGCCGATATTAAGTCTCATGCCATTTCCATTCGTATTCCCTTTTGGTTTACGTTTAACATGTGGGGAACGATGTGTTGACACACCCTATGCATGTTAAGATCCTTAGTCAGTATCTGCTGACATGTGGCCTCTGATATCCCAACTGAAGATATTTGGCAAATTGTTTGCTGCCTGTTCACATGTACCGCCACAGACACCTTTTCGATGTTTTCTTCAGTGTGTGAAGTCAAGGGGAAAGCCACCTTGCCGTTTCTGGCACTTTCCCTACCTTCACTGGAATGACGCGCCACTCAAAAGCTTGCATTCTCGATAACATTTCACTTCTGTACACATGCTTCAACATTTAAAAAATCTCTGTAGCACGCTTTCCCAAGCGAACACAAAATTTGATATTGATTCTCTGCTCAACTGATGCCATTTCTTTCTATCGCCGGTTACTAAACGCACCTGCCTAAATAAAACACTGCCACCGAGAGCTTTCGACCACGTGATTTGGAACAAACCCCTTTTAGAAAAGAGGGAGAACATAGTAACACAAAAACGTTCTCGTAGTCTCACTACTGCAAAATATTTTTACGTTATACACTCAGTCTGGGAACTTTTGAATCCTACAACATACAATATGATAATGAAGAAGATATGCAAAAAGATGCATACATGATCTCTTTATTTAACATGATTTTTCAATGAATTTTACAAGTGCTGAAGCAGTGTTTTATCATCTAAATGGTTAACGAAATTCATTTTGAACATAAAATTACATTTAACACACTTTCTTAGATTAAGTTCAAAATTCATATGCACAATAAAATTTAAAAAATTTTTATTAACATACCAGGAGAAGAGTTTAAAATTTCCAAAGCAGCTATAGCGACTCCTGCTTGAAGAGGTGGCAAAGAAGCAGAGAAACAGTACCCAAGACCAGATAATCGCTTAAAATAAGTGGGAAAAATAACAATTAATTATTTAAAATAATTATTAACTTAGCCAATGGTTGATGCATGTTATTAATTATATTAATGATTTTGCAAACTATTTATGATACAGTCCCTTAATTTTAACTGTTTTTAACATCACTTTCAAATACCAAATTATTTGCTGGCTCTACTATCTTTATATATTTCAGATGTGTTAAAAACATAACTGAAGACATGGCTGACATATTTCTGCCAAAGTAAAACCAGCACACAATAAATTAGTTTCTTAATGTGGCAATAACAGGCAGAAACTCATAAAAAAATTAAAAGTATGTTGTAGTGCAGTAAATAATGGAAGAAAGCACACTATACTCCCCAAGGCAGTTCCCATTTTAAACAAAAAAAAAAATTAAGTTTCTTTATCAAAGCACAATGAACAAAACTTCTATGACAAAATCACCAGTGTAAAGCAAAACCAATATAAAACTTGCAGTAAGGGAAAAAAAGTCAAAAAAAAAAAAAAAGATATAATAGATAATGCTATAATATTTGCGAGTTGTTTTTATTGGCAACTATTTGTAACTCAGAATATATAAATATTGTTAAATAAATCAATAAAAATAAACTACCTAAAACCAAAAAACTGTATAATTATCAAGCTTGTATTTCAAGATTAATGGCTTCCATTTCTTATCAAATGCTTGTACATTAATTTAAAATTAAGCCAAAATAGAATGAAAATTTATTTTGGCATAGATTTTAAATAACATTCAGTTGATTTCAAAGGCGATCAAAAAAAGATCCCTCTTCTTCAGAAGCAAAAATGGGAGAAGCAACTATCATTTTATATCAAAAGCAATCAGTGAGGCAAAGCAAAAACTAATATAATCTATAAAATAGCAAGGCGAGTGACTAGATGAAGCTTCACAAAAGCAGTAATCTTAAAAAAAAGAAAGAAAGAAAAAAAAAAGTAAGAAAGGAAGGGAAAAAAGAAACTACTACTTAAAAAAAAAAAAAAAAAAGTTCCAGTTGATTCTTTATGTGAATTTTAACTGAATGATACTGTTCAAGTTCTCTTGTAAATATTGTTCTTTGATGCCATTTATAACCTAATTTCTTCATTTTTAATGACGTTTATGCTTTTGTTATTTTAAGGGCTCTTTTAGCTCTGAATACTGATTTCATTTATGTAACTAAAATTATGCTCCAGATTAGACTGCTTGAAACTACAGGTAAATTCTTACTAGTATTTTTCTATTAATATTGGTTACTCCTGTCTGTATTTATTAACTGCCTTCAAATTGTGATTTTGCATACCACTATGGGAATTATTTCCAGTGATTATCACAGTTAATCGGGAGTCTACGGGAATCATATTTATATTTATTCAAAGCTATAACTATGAATAAATATAAACATGATGATAGAGTCACCATTTAAATTCAACCAAATGTTTTTCATGAAGTAATTTATCACAAAAAGCCAATTCACTACTATTTCAAAACCTAAAGGTTCTGTTAATTTACTGTGAATAAATGAAAAGCAGAACATACTCTCAAACCAGTAGTATTTGCAGACTATATCATTGTGTAAATCAGTATCTGCTGACATGTGGCCTCTGTTCAAGGCCCAGATTTATGATGATGGCCAAGATTCATGAATTGGATTACATCATTCTGACTATGAAAAACACTCAAAGGCTGACAGCCTAAATGGTTAGGGTTATTTGGATTATAGCAAAGTACATTAGGGCTATCAGTCTAAGGGAAGTGATGCCTTTGGGAAGGACATTTTAAGGGAAACTTACTTATATTAACATAACAGTAAGGAAGAAAGAAAGCATGGAATAACAGTAATGACAACAGGTAATGTTATATAGGTGGGAGTTGTTCTTATTGGCAACTAACTGTAATTTAGAATATAAAAATATTGTTTAATAATCTATTAAAAGCAAACAGTTCACATTAAAGTTGTATTTCAAGATTTATAACTTCAGTTTCTTCTTATCAAATACTTCTGAATCAGTTTAAAATTAGACATCTTCAACCCAAAAAAAGCTACCTTTATTAAACAAAACTCAGTTTTTAGGGATGATCAAACAATTTTAAGAATGATCAGACATGAGTCCTTCTTCTTCAGAAGCAAAAATGAATGAAACAACTAAGGTTTTATATCAAAAGCAACGGACATGGCAACATGGAAACTAATAGTGGCATGGAAGAACAAAACAGTCGGGTAGAGAAGAAGAATCACAAGGTAAAGCTTCACAATATTGGTAATTTAAAAAAAAAAAAAAAAAAAAGAGAGACAGAGAGAAAAAGAGAAAAACTCTAACTAAAAACTTAGCGGAAAATCATGAAAATGTTGTAAATTAATCAGGTACTTGGGAATAAATAAATAAAATGTTTTGCTAACTCACTTTTGGCAACCCTAAAAAATGCCAAGACCCATGGGCATCAAACACGTCAACTATGTTAATCGCGTGATATTAATTTATCCCATGATCCTCCTGTTCTTTAGTTATTATTAAGCTTCCGTATGTGCTTGTATTAACACTGATGTATCTATTGCTTATATTATTTTAATTGCAGTACAATAAATATGTTATTAGTGTTAAAATCTGCATCGTATTATTTATGGATAAATCTCTCATATCATCATCAACAATAGTTTCAGAGACTCAACAGTTGCTACTGAGTGCACAAAAGGTAAGCTGATTTTGCTATCTTTATTCTTCATCGATTATTGAGCCTGATATCGTTTAACCCTTTCGTGGGCCGTGGGAAAGTTACTTCCCACCTACATGTTCCTGGGAAATACACCTGTGGGAAGCGCAAAACCCACTATAATATATTGGCTTTGCTATTATAACGTTGGGAACTGTAATTCCCACTTCAGTATTGTGCTGCCATCTGTGTTCAATCGATTGAAAACAGAATTACCATATTTGTTTTGAAAGTTCGAACATGTTGTGTGAGATCTGTTCCACTCAGACACCTGTTTTGATTTGACATTTGCATTGCTATACGATTCTGCTACAAATGTAAGTAAAGCACTGTTTTTATTATAATAACGTTTTCTTATTTTGCATATTTCTGCAGTAACTAATATTGAATAATAAATAATGGGTGAAAAGTGAAAATGCTATTGCATCATGTATAAAAGCCACGTGCAATAGGTATGTTGAAAAAATTAGAATATTTTTGAAAATACATTTGAAAATATCATTCAGTTCTACTGAGAAAAAAAAGATTATTTTGGCATGATTTTTACCGAGAAAATTTTACAGAATATTGTTGACCAAACAAACTCATATGCAAAGCAGCCTAATTTCTTAGGAAGAGATTGGGTCATACCACAAAAGACATTATCCTGAACTGAAAAGAAATCACATCAGAAGAATTGAAAGCATAAGTAGGTATGCATATACTCATGGGTGTACATCAATTGCCTAAACTGAAAAACTACTGGAGTGCACAGGCCCTATTCTCAATGGTTCAACCAGTAGCAAGAATAATAATCGCAAAGATATTCAAAAAATAACTGAGAGATTTGCATGTAAACGATAACAGCACAAATCCATGTGGACAATTTGGGCATGATAAACTCCATAAAATCAGGCATCCTCTCACAGCTCAATGCATTCCATACCTAAAGTCTACGAACCTATCGTCAACATTATGAATAGATGAATGCATGTGATAGCTTTCAAAGTGATTACTTCATTGAAGCAGTATATGCCAATGAAGCCTATAAAAAGAGGTTACAAGGTGTGGTTTTAGCAGAACCTAAGACTGGATATATTCAAAAATTTGAAATTTATTGTGGAAAAGAAACTTCTGATAATAAGGATAAAATATTGAGCTTAGGGGAAACAGTAATAACTAAACTAACGGAAAATGTGAAACAGACAGGTCATCTTATAGCCTATTATAACTATTTGACATCTTTTAGGCTTGCAAAAAGTCTACTTATAAGTGGTCTGTTTTCTGTGGGGACTGTAAGGCCGCAAAGGAAGGATCTTCAACCAATACTGAAGGCTAATAACAAACTACAAAGAGGGGAATCAGTGTTCCTAACTAAGGAAGGTGTTGCTGCAATAAAGTGGATGGGCAAAAAGACTGTTACATTGTTAACTACTGCACATAATTCAGCGATTATTACATCTGTAAAACGTACAAAAAAGGATGGTACTAAAACAGAAGTACCTTGCCCTAAAGCTGTTGCCATATATAACGATATCATGGGAGGGGTTGATTGCTTCGATCAAAGAAAAGAAAGGTACCAAATAGGAAGAAGATCTGTAGAATGGTGGCATCGTATTTTTAATTTTCTTATTGATCTTGGCATCGTAAATAGTTTTATACTGTGGCAAGATCACAAGAAAAACAGAAGTTTAGACCAGCTAATATTCCATATAGCATTAGTTTATCAACTAATAGACGGATATAGAAGGATTCCTCGAAAAAAGAAAAGGCTGTCCTGCTAGCTTCCAAGCAAAACGGTGTGCAGTTCCGTATGATGTACGCTTAGTCAGTGTGGGAAATCCTATGCCAAAGATGGTTTCCAACTATAGACGATGTAAGAAATGTAGCACAAAGGCCCAAAAAAGAGTACCCTCTATATGTGTGCAGTATCTGAAGTACCCTTGTGCATTGCAACATGTTTCTCATCTTTTCACAGCAAATAATCGCCTTTAAATTGAATTTTCTCTATGACCATTAAAAGGTCCCGTGGGAAGTATACATCCTACCCCTAGAATTTAAATGTAAACAAAAAATTTGGCAAAATAAAATATATTTCCTTAAATGCTATTGTTTAATTGATAATAAAACATAAAAAAAGGGGAGAAATTCAAAAGAGAAATAAATGGCCCACGAAAGGGTTAAATCCCGAAACTAAAATTTAAACTGTGCATATAAACTTTCTGAAACTGTTAAGAAAGAATTAATAATGGCACAGACAAAGTGCCATTTTTTAAAGATTGTATGCAAATAACGAAACTGAATTCTGAAAATTACGCTAATTGGAAATTCAAGATTCAAATGCTTTAAATAAGTGATGGGTTTGATGATCTTCTTTATTCTCCCCCACCATCTAAACCATGATGAATTTTTAAAGAGGGATAAACAAGCACGAGCTATAATAAATCTATGCACTGACGACTCTCAGATTATTCATGTTAGAGATGAAACGACTACCACTGGTACATCGCAGAAATTAAAGTCGGTTCACGAGCGCTCAAATTTGAGTAGCAAACTATATCTTCTAAGAAAATTATATTCAATAAAAATGGCAGAACACGGTGATATGATTGCGCACATCACTCATATGATGGACTTGGTCGAAAGACTGAAAGCTATCGGTGAGAACATTCCAGATCAGCATGTAGTCGCACTTTTGTTAGTTTCAATTCCCGAATCGTACAATAATCTTACAACCGCCATTGAAGCTAGAGAGGAAATTCTGGTAACTACAGATATTGTAAAAACGAAACTCCCTGACGAGTACAATAGAAGATTAGAACAACAAGCAGATCGGAATTCTAATTCTACAACCGCGTTTAAATCTGCAATAAATGCAAGAAAATATATTAATAGACAAAAGAAATTTTGTACCTTTTGTAATCACAATGGTCATTATCGTGAGTGTTGTTATAAATTGAAAAACAAAAATAACAATTCTTGTCCTGACAGCTCAAAATCCAAAAATCTTGTGACCAAACATGTCGGAAAATCGAACCGACATTGCATGAGTGCAGACACTTCCTTTAAAGAAAGCTATAAATCCAGATGTCAAATGGCATCAGTCAAAAACACTGCTTATGAAAAGAGTTTAATAATTACTCCACGATATTGCTCAGAACAACGGCGCGAGCAGTCATCTAATAGGAGATAAAAGTTTGTTTACAGAACTGAGATATGAGGATTCTCGAGCAAAAATCATTTTAGCGGATGGAAAAATTTTATATTTGTAGGGCAGAGGATTTGTTGACCTTGATTTAAAAGACAGTTATCAAAGATAAAGAACTAGGCTTACTTGATGATCAACAATAAATGAGGTGCCTATACAAAACCCTCCATAACTCGGAATTGCAGCTTCTAGGGTAGCAGTTATAAGGTCAATTTCATCTATCTAAACAAAACAATTTTTAATAAACTGACACTGCTAATTTATTATTATATACTTAAAAATAAATTATTACTATACACAAATAAAAAGCAAAATGACACAAATATTTACAGGTATATTTAAATGCTCTGTAACACCTCGTCCAGTAGCTCCAAGAACACCAAAGCTACATGCTTCATCAATAAATATTCTTACTTTATATTTGTTCTTTAGTTCAACCTACAAACATTATACAAAACATATTAACGTAAACAGGAGATTAAAAATAAACTAATACCAGCTAAAATCAGAATTACGAAAAAATGAATATGCACTATTATACATATTACATAGTATATTATAAATATTACATAGCACACTACATAATAAAATTTGTTTAAATTGTATGCAGAAACAGCAGCTGATAATTTTCTTGGGTACTTTCTGATTATCTGCATCCCATGAACTCACAAATGCTAATTTTTTGGCAAGATAATACATAAAACGTACAGCCATTTTCAAAATAGCAGCGCTCTAAGAATTTCATACAAGAACAATCAGTCAATATAAATAAAAAAGATAGAATTATGGGTAATAAAACATTTTCAGTACAAACGGGGCTTTGTCTCTGAAGCACTATTGTTTCGTTTTGCGATTTTGCGTCGGAACCCTATAAACGGCTTATCACTTTTCAAATCGTTGTCACCAAATAAATAAAAATCGTTGCCCTGTATTATATTTAAAGAAATTAAATAATGAAGAATCTGCATAAATGTATGTATGTTTCTTGCATTGCGATAAAACAATGGTACCTAGAGCCATCCAATTTTGAATGACATAATCCTACTGCGAATATGGGCATTTGAAAGCCAAATTTCAAATTTTGAATTTGTTTTATTGTCAATTTCATATTTTGTAAAACTTTAACGAATTTTTTATTAACAAACTGAAGGATTTAAAATCGAGCAATGGCAACACTCTACAGGAGGGGAGAACATTTTTATCTTCAGTGTGCGGAACTGTGTATCGAAAATTCTAAAGCTCAAAATAATTTTTAAATTATTTTGCAACATTGCTGTTGAACTGAATTTTACTGACAAGCCAAGCAACAAATAAGTGGGAAGAATGAATATCAATTCAAGAATTTTTCTCTCCTAGATTTCCAATTGCTTAAGTGGATGAAGTTGTCAGATGTGAGCATCTGCAAGTACCACAAATACAATGTTGCTGATGCTAATATGGAATGCTATGTGCAAAATGGCAAAACAAATATCAGTGCGGTTTCAGCCACAATCATCTAGATTTATTTCTACCACATTAAAATCGTGATTGCATGAAAAGATGCAAATGTTTTTGGCAGCATTAATGAAATCAGCACTTACATGCGCTCCTGTACAACCTAAAATTAATCTGGTAAAACCTACTTTATAATTTTGTGTTTATTTTTTTTCTTTTGTACTGGCACTATACTCTTTATATATAAATTAAGTATTATACTTTAAAAAAACATATTTAGTAAATCCTAATTAAATAATTTTTAAGGTATTTTGTTAGTTACCTGTAAATAATCAAATTTAATGTTAGGAAAGGGAATCAGTCATTTAAAAAAAACTTGCTAAGACATGACCTTTAATCTGCAATATTCTCCATCTGAAAGTGTGCATATGTTTGGGAATTATACTGTATTAAAGTGGGCAAATATATTTTTTTAACATTCACTAAGTATAATTGCATTTAAATAACCTTTTCTATCATACTTTAATTATTTTAATCAATATATTCAACGATTTATGTTAAAAAATACAAATTTGCTTATTATGTTGTAAATATTTAAATCCTTTATGATTGTATTTTTATTTTTTTCATACTGTTCTAATGTATTGTTTTTTTTATTTTTTTGTTGTTGTTTTGGGAATTTTATGGTTTATTTTGTGTTTAATCAAACTTGTGGCCACAGTATGTAAGTGCTGATTTCATTAATGCTGCCAAAAACATGTTTTGTGTTTAGGTACTTGTTCCTTAAACAGATCTGTAGATCTTTCAATTCTGATTGCAATAACATTGAAATTGTAAAAACAGCTCAACTGTAATCTGAGATATGGTCAAATTCATCCCTGATAGGCTATGGCAACATACTTGTTGAATTTGCCGATTCTTCGCTAATTTGGTGACTTTTTAAAAGATTTCAAAAACATATATTTGAAAACCTACAACAGATTTTCCAGTGTCCATGGCTAGAATATATAAAGGCAAAACGGAGAATTAGAATTCAGTTCTTAACCAATTATTTGCCATAAAATTTGGACATAATTTGTTCAAAAATCAACAATTTTTTTAATGATGTTTTTAAATGTTTACATAATATAAAATTGATTCATATAACAAACACTATACTTTTCATTAAATTTAATGGTTTTTTAAATACATAAATAACTTACCTTATTTTACCTTATATTTGGCTTTCCTCGCACACCCATGCTAGGGAGAAAAGTTTCAATGCAGGCATTTGAGAAATATATATAATTTTGGGTGAGAAAAATTATGTATGTTTTAAATAATGCACATTGACTGCATATGATGAAGCTTTTATTCAATATCAATAATAGCTATAATATTTTTTCCAAAAATTTAATAATTTTTCAGGGCATGATAAAGTATGAAACAATATGCATACTTTATCATGCGATGAAAGAAGCAATGCAGAGTCCTACATTGCAGTCTTTTACAATAATTTTGTTTCACTCCCAATCCATTTTCCATTTGCATTTTTCTTAGATAAACGTACTTTGCATTCTCTGGAAGGGTCTTCCTTTTTTCCTATTGGTGGTATAAGTTTCAAAAAAAGGCATTTAAATAAACGACTTGATACTTGGATGGATGACCTAAACTTGAAAAATGGATAAAAGCATGATATTTTTAAGTTATTTTTATTGGTTAAATCCAGTCTAAGTCTTAAATGTGATTTGCTTCTTTAAATTGTGTCTCCATGTCAATAAGGTTCCATGTCAAAATGCGAATTGATTTTTAGTTTGCTTGATTAAATGTCTTTTTCTAAACTTGAAAGGCATGGAAAACAGCTTGGTGTATTTTTAAAATTTTTTATAATATTGTTTCTAGTTACAAGATAACTAGAAAGGTATTGACCAACAAGATCCACACCTCCTATTCTTTTATTGCAGCCAATTATGACCTTTGGCTTTGTTTTAAATTTTCTACTTTGTATCATTACTTCAATAGTTTCAGAATTGCTCAATGATGATAATATTGTTACCTCCTTTTTGTCCTTCCACTCCAGTGAGGATTTTTGCATGTCTAAATTGATATAACTTTGCCAGAATTTTAACTTTTTATTTTACTAATCCTTTTTGCTTTATCTAACAGTTCCAACTACATCTCTTTGATAAGACAAACGGATATCTAATAATTCTGGTGAAATATAATAATTACATAAGGTGATGCAGTAACCTTGTAAAGTCATAGCAACTTGAAAAGGTACCGAAAGAGATCAGAATTTAGGATGACATGAAGTACCTTTCCCAGTATATATACTAACTAAATGACCCTATACAGTATAAGTCCAGAAATCCGTAAAGCTTGGGACCAGAGGTTGTGCAAATTTTAGGATTTTACGGATTTCAGGACAGAAAAGATAAATCATAATATTCAGACTAAAAGTGCAAAATAAATAAGGCGTATTAGATACATTTAATTAAATTATTATATACATTATTGCAATAACTTATTATATGCGTTAAATTATTATTACATATATAAATTTATTATATTATTCATTGTATTATATATACACCACATCGAGGTTTGCCGATTTCGCCTCATGCAAAGATTTCTGGTTTCGGATTCCGGTGTTAGAATCACTGCTGCTGTAAATTTCAAGAGCTTCATACGATTCTGCTATAAAATGCATCTATCTCCATCTTTTGCAGAATTTGAACTTTTTGCATTACCGTCAATGCAACGTGTTTACGTTTTTCAACGTTGCAAGCAGTAAAATCATGAGTGCTTTTCTTATGTGTAACTGTATTAAAAAGGGCTGAAATTTAAAATATTCTTAATTCATCCACAAAATATCCGAATAAAAAAAAAGGCAGCACTAAATAATCTCGTGAAATAACAAAGCTTAGAAAATATAACTACGTGAATCGTGAACTTGAAAGAAGAGTTGAGTGAACCGTCTGCTTTCTTACCTCGATGCAGATTAGAGGAGAAAAAACTTTTATTATGATGTCAATAATTTGGTATTTCTGTTATGACTCATTATTATTGGGTAATTATGACGTCATTATTCAGAAAGTACTTTTTCTTTGATATTTCGTACTCAATGTTGCGGTTTCCAGAACCATAAACTGAATGTTTATATTTTGAGAGGCAACGCGAATTTCAGGAGTTGGCAGATTTTTGGTATTTGACTGTATAATCGGTACTAGATTCGCTTAGCATACGTTTTGATACCAAATTTTGCTTCTTTCAAGGTTATATATTCACACCATGATAAACGGCCTTTGTACAATATAAAAGTTTCATCTATATAAAAGAAATACCTCTTTCTGGGGTAATTTTGTTTGACATACTTTGTTCAAATGCTCTCAGATAGGCTAAATTTTATAGTTTTGGGTAGGATGATTTTTCTCAATCAAGAAAATCACTGTTTCACAAAATGCAAGCATTTTTTTTATTTTGCAGTATCGATTATAGGACATAATCTTACAAAAAAAAAAGAGTTTCCACCGATGTTTTTCTTAGCCCAATACATGCTTTCTTTAAGTTTTTTGTAAACTTTGTAAAACTGAAAGTGCATAGAACAAATACTTTTCATGTGGTGATACAGGCTTCTATTTTCTTCTGCCTTTCAGTTTTCTTATACCAATAATACTACCTGATTGCTAAGTATAACAATTAGTCTCTTTTATAATTATATCCATTATTTCATTATTTATAAAATGCTCATAATATTGTAAAATGTCTGAATTAGTTTGAAATGAAATATTAACTTTACGGAATAATTTGAATTGAAAATGAGGAAGATAAATATCAGGGACATCTGGTATTATTTTGCAACACTCACGTAAAAATTGCATAGGATTGTCATAATCACTATCTTCAAATTCGGATCCTTCTAAATCAAAAGCATCATAAAAAAATCTGCTTCCTGAATCACTTCTCAATTCTTCAAGACTTATATTCTGTTGTTCACTTGAGCTACTCATTTTACAAATAATAAATGTGAAAAAAACAATGACCTCTGAAACTCAAACTTTTTTTTAAAACATATTCTCACTGAAAAAAGTATTCTAAATCTGCATACTACTGTTGTATATAATGAAATTACTAATACTCTGCTGTCATCTATGAAGCAGCTGTGTAAATAGAATTGATATTGGCGCAATAAAAACTGGAATTCCCTTACTTTTTATTGCAAAAGAGCAGCCTATGTGAGATATGGTAGAGACAAAATTTATTGAAATTGGCTGCCCATTTGAAATACAGGCATAGTGACTAAGAGATTAAAAAGCTCTGAGATTTAATGGTTAGATGAATTGTGATTTCGAGTTTGCCCTACAATAAATAGGAGGAACTCGCAATATTTTTTCAGTGCACTAAAAGATGAGTTGCTTAATGTCCATGTTGTCCTTGAGCTATTTTCAGCTATTCATTGTACTTTGTGTGCTAATTATTGTGTGTATGGGAATTTTTATAATAAATTGTTCATTTCTCCCTACTTATTTGGACTTATTATTTAAAAGAACATTTCTTAAGAGCAGAACTTGTTGTTTGCAATCACATACATAAATAATTGTAAAATCACTCAGGTAAATGTATATTATTCGCATAAATGTATATTGCTCAGACAAATGTACATTATCTATTCTGAAAGGTAAAACAAATGGAAAATATATATTAAAGCAAAAATAAACTGCATACCCCCCCAAACCTAAATTATTCTAGACTTATTCAGAAGACAGCCATTAAAAATGTAAATTAGCTATTTTGAAACAAAAATCGCACATGAAATACATAGATTATTCAGAAAGTAAGGTTCGATTTCTTATAAAACATAAACCATCACAGATTTTTTTCAAAAAACCTTTTTTTATTTAATTCCTTACATCTTTCTCTATTTTTCTGCATAGTTTCCATATTTGTTTAAATATTTGTCATAATATTCTACAAGCTTTTGTATTCTCAAGTTATAGACATCTGCTGCTTGTAAGGATAACCTGTCTTGAACCTCGGTGAACCTGTCTGATCTGTGATGAAAAACTATTAGGAGAAACTACTTTAGGTAGCAAAACAAGTGAAAATCACTCAGTGCCAGGTCTGCACTGCATGGTGGATAATCACTCAGTTCCCACCCAAAAGATCTAATCAGATTTTTGGGGGTGAATGGCAGAATGGGGTCTGGCATTGTTATCCAGAAACAAAACTCCAGATGTCAGAAGGCCAAATACTTATTTTGTATTCCACATCTAAGTTTCTCTCGGGGGAGCCTGTAACCCCTAGAGGGCACATCTCTAAGGTGGCAGATAGGGGAATGCCTCTTTTGGAGGTAGAAGGGAAATGAATTACCTTCCGCAGACCAACAGGCAGAAGTCCAACTTCTTGAGGCTATGGCAATCATTTTTTCATGAGAGATCATTTTATGTATCTAGATCATGCATAGATCCATCTGACTTCTCAAAGGACATGACACCAACCAGCCAACATCTAAGTTTAGGCAGGTAAGTGGCTGCATTTATTGTTGTCCCTTGACTAACAAGATTCCATATCTATCCCAAAAACAGGATTACCATAACCTTGCATGTTGAGATGGTCCGCTTGGCCTTGACTCTGACTGGTGATGTCATGCCACTGACCTGGGTCATGTGAGAAACCCAAGTCTTATCTCCTGGGACAATCCTTTCTAAAAACTTATCACCTTCTATGTGATATCTGTCCAAAAAAACAAAAGCACAAACCATTCTTTCATTTGGTGTTCCTCAGTAAGCAGCTTGGGAACCTAATGTGCACACAATTAGTGAAATTGCAACTTTTCAGAGAGAATTTTGTGCAAACTCTTCTACCCACATTCGGAAAATCCAATGCTAAAGTTGAAATTGTGAATTACTGGTCTTTACGAATTTTTCATCCGTGGCATTGACCAAAACTTCTGAGATCAATGATGGTCAGCCTGATCGAGGTTCATCATGCACATTTTTCCAGTACCTCATAAAAAGGTCACCCACTTACACACTTTGCTGCCACTCATCACACTGCAGCCATGAATGTTGCTTATCTATCGATGAATTTCTGATTTAACTATCGACGAAACATTCCTTGCTGTCAAGAACTTAATCACTGACCATATTTCACAGTTGGAGGGCAGATCAATTATTTTAAACATTTTGAACTGACACTGTACATTGCAGTAATACGAATATAAATGGCATCATTTGACATGCAAGGCATGTCGGAAGTCAGTACGCATGCACATTTCAATTTTGCGCAATATTCAATTAGATCTGGTGATTCGAACCTTAGTTTCCAAATAATCTTCATATATATTTTGCTGCAAAAATAAAATGAATGCCCTAAAAATAAAAATAAACCATGATAAATACTTTATGCACAAAAATATTCATTTATACCATCACATGTTTTTATTTTTATTTATTTATTTATTTTCACATACCATTCTAGGTAAAGGACATATATCTCCATAGTTGATATATATACCTTCTAGAACTAAAAACCTCCTAGTCACTTTGGCTTTACTTGGATTCTGTTGAGAAACATTTGTTATTAAAAAGAAAAGAAATGGAATATGATGCTCTTTGAAAATTTTTTATCTAAACAAAAACACTACTCACACGTTTATCTCGTTCAGCTTGCTCTTTCAAGAGCCTTTCTAAATCATCAGGATCATTATGTTTGAAGAAGTGGATTTCACTGCGAGATCCAACCAAGCCTTTTTGTATAGCAAAGTTTACACCAGCATCACTACAATTTAGATAAATCATGATTACAAACTCTAAAAGAAATTATACATAAGCAGCCACATTAAAAAAAGGGGGAAGAAAAACTTATTTCTAGGTAATGTGAGAATGATTGTTCCATACCAAGGTACATAACATATATCAACAGAAGTACCATTTATTAATTATAGAAATGGCACATATCTTTACAAAATTTATCAATCAGACATATTATAAATCATTGCCATTTAGATTTTTTTAATTACATGAGTTACAAACATTATTAAAAATAGCTAAAAATTAAAATAGCTATTTACCAATATACATAATATAGGGTGTTAATAATATATTTTAGTAACAATAGTAATGTTGCAAATGTTCATAAAATTATCAACTGAATATGATACAACTTAAAAGTATTTTAACATTTAAATTAACTAATTGTTTTTATTGCTTATAAAATTCCTCAATTTGTTAAGCAATTTCAGATCAATTACATTTTCAATTTTTATGGTTTTTCAAATGGTACACTATTAAAACAGTGGCTATCTGAGATATGGTGTGAAAGATAAATTTAAAATCTCATGCAATGACAACACCAGTCAATTTGCATGGATGATAAAGACATGACAGTGTTATGTAACATAGTCATCCAAAAACTGAAGAAAAATTCCATTAAAGACAATTCTAAAATGAAAACTGTTTAATTAAATAAACCTTTTCACAACATAGACTAGTAGCATTCTTTTAAGATTATCTTGATAATAATAACAATGTACATTTCATGCAAGTAGTAAATCTAAATATTTATTTTTTAAATCATTTTACGTCATTTTTTTTCATGTTTAAAATCATAAAAAAAGTAAGACAAATGTTAATTTTTTACAACTTTGTAAATATAGTATATGTGTGTGTGTAACATTTAAATTCATTAGCAGAAATATTTCACTTTTTACTGAAATACAGTATGACTTTTCTGGTTCAAGATTTCATGCAAAATCAACAGCATTTCAACTCAAGGCAGCTATCATGACATTAATTCTACGACATTTCACAGCTTTAATGATCAAATAAAATCGAAAAGAGGCCCATAATAAGTACTCTTTTAAATGAAAATATATGTTCGTGAAGGAATTATTTTCTGTTCATTAAAAAAACAATTATGCAACTGCTTCTATTATAAATTTAAAATAAGTAATAAAATAATCATACATTTTAATAAGCGTAATTTATAATGACAATATACATTTAATGTTGCATAGAACTGGACTTGCATTCAAATTATAAATGTAAAATGCATAACGCCTTCTTAATTGATAATCTACATGTACATGATAATAATTATATTGAGTTATTTCATTATAGCACAGCATAACAGAGGTACCTGCTTCAAGGAAGGAATGAAATAGTGGAAGGCTTTCTAAAAGAAACTGGCTCATGTCTATACTATAATACACGGGTTCTTAAACAGGATAGAATTCCCCATTTGAGAGTATTTCAGTTTCAGGGGAAGAATGTGGTCAGCCTTTTATTTCCCTGTTAAGTATTTAGTTTCAGTTTACATATATAAAGAACTATTTTTATTCAAGTTTTGGTATTTATAAATATTTTTCATAATGTTTCTTGTTTAATTTATGAAACATTAAAAAATAATGTAAAAAATAATGTAATGTAATAAAGCTATATGTATTTTTTTAGTTTTGGAAAGGACGACCAGGGGAACGAATGTCCAGAAATGGTGAAAAGCGTGACTGGGGGGGGGGGGGGAGAGTCAAGAACCATTGCTACAATGTAACTAGACCGAACAATTTAACTTTTTAAAGCCAGCAGTACAAATCTTGCAACAGGAAAATTATTTCCTTTAACGGTGGCTATGGCACAACTGCCGTACCAGCATTCCCTTTCCCATTTTAGAGTAATTGCCTATCTTTAGATCAGTGCTCCGCAACCGGTGTGCCATGAGTAGGATATAGGTGTGCCGCAATCAAATACATGTATTTGACATTTTGCAATTTTTTATCATATACTTAATACACAATGACATTTTTTTCCCTTAATAATGTCTATTTTAAATGTTTTTATACACAGTCCAGTCACATTAATGTGACCACCACGTACTTTCCATGTCAGAGTTAAATAACCAATCACAGAAGGCAGGTGGCAGCACAGTGCAGTTGAGCGTATATAAAGGGTGTGTGAGGGCTTCGGAAAACTTTTCAATCGTTGGCGTAATGCAGTATCGAAGCGATTTATCCGACTTCCAAAAGGGCATGATCATTGGCTTTCGGGCCAAGGGTGGAAGCATTTCCGAAACGGCTGAGTTTGTGAACTGTTCGCGTGCTGCCGTGGTAAAAGTGTACCGTGCATGGCAAAATGGGACTGTCCAAAATCAGCGACGTGGCAAATGTGGTGCACCACGGGCCATAGATGACAGAGGCGAACGACGGTTGCGGAGATGCGTTCGGGCAGATAGACGGGCTACCGTTGAGCAACTGACCACCAAAATGAACCAAGGGGCTACCAAAAGTGTCTCCCAAAGTACTATTCAGCGAACATTGCTGCGTCTGGGCCTCCGAAGCAGACGGCTGGTTCGTGCAACTATGCTGACTGCTGTTCATCGACGACGAAGGCTAGAATTTGCATGCCAGTACAGCAGCTGGACGTCCACTGAGTGGCGACAGGTTGCGTTTTCAGATGAATCGCGTTTTATGCTCCATCGGACAGATGGACGTTGGCGTATAAGGCGTGAAACCTCTGAAAGGAACCACCCTGCAACCATTGCCGGAACGGTCCAAGCTGGAGGCGGGAGCATTATGGTCTGGGGAATGTTTTCCTGGCATTCTCTAGGTTCACTGATCATTGTGGAAGGCACAATGGATCAATACAAGTACGCATCTGTCCTTGCGGACCATGTTCACCCCTACATGCGCATTGTTTTTCCTCAGGATGATGGCATCTTCCAGCAGGACAATGCGAGGTGCCATACAGCTGCCAGTGTACGTGCGTGGTTCGAAGAGCACCAGGATGAGTTTACCGTCCTCCCCTGGCCAGCAAACTCACCTGACTTAAACCCAATCGAGCATCTGTGGGACCATCTCGATCGAGTTGTTCGCGCCATGGATCCTCAACCGCGTAATCTAGCGCAGCTGGCCACGGCATTAGAGTCGGCATGGCTCAACATCCCAGAGAACACCTTCAGGCGAAAGGTGGTTATTCTGGCTTTTGACAGATGGTCACATTAATGTGAATGGACTGTGTATATTTCACTGTTGTGTGGTTGTGTGTGTGATTGTAAGTGTGTCAGCATTTGAATTTTTTCGGCACTTCCTTGATAACTCGGAACTCAAAAATATATAACATTTTTTAAGCGCAGGTATCACATTGATAATTATTATGATTGCATATAAATAAATGTGTTATGGTTTTATAATTGTATATTTTTCAAATTAAAAACAAAAATTTATTGTAAATTTTGTGTATAAATCAATACATATATACATTAGCTTTTGGTGTGCCACGAAATTCCAGAAAGATTTTTTGTGCTTTGCAGGTGAGAAAAGGTTGCGGAGCACTGCTTTAGATCACTGTGTGGTCCACCATTGCTGTTCAGAGTATCCACTGGCTATACATTGTTTCCAGTTTTTTGTCAGTTTGGCTATGTTTTGGAGAAAAACACAGGTTTCTTCTTGTGCCAATATACTTGAAAATCAAATAGAAGCTAACTCTTTCTTATATATTAGAAAACTATCTCATAATTTTAGAATGTTAACTTTTTTCCTTTAGCTATGTAATTCTTATAATGCACCTTATTTCAAAGGTCTCAGTCAGAATGAAATTAAAAAGTTGCTGAGAGATTTAGAAAAGGAAACTTTAGTTGATACCGATTCTGATTATTCAGATACAGACAAAATATGTTTTGATCAATTTTTAAAAAAGATAAAGACTGAAAACAATTTTAATAATTTATTTGAATAGAGACAGCCAAATAAGCATTACAAAGCTGAGTACTGGAAAAAAAAAAAGAAACAACATTTAAAAGAACCTAGTCTAAGGAAATACATAACAGTGAATTTTTCAAATTTAAACACTTTGGTTCAGGCCCCGGCAAATGAGCTAGCTGCATAGCCTTTTTCGTGGTTTTCCCCACGAAAAACGTGAACGTAAACCAGTTCTGAGTCCTGCATGAAAGCACCACTCTCTTTAGCAAAACTCCTATTGTACTGTGCCTTAATCAAATAATCCAACAGACGTTTAAGCATCTCCCTTCAAGCCAGTAAATACCGTATTTAATTACATTGTAACAGTCAGTTATGCAGATAAGACCATTGACAACCTCGTTAGATAATACGTAGTATGATCTAGATTCCAATACAATTGAATGAACAGACTTCATAGGTTTTCCCACCATGTGTAACATGATTATTAAATGCTTTCTGTCCAAAAGTCCTTGTGAAATTTAAGGTTACATTAATTAATTAAGAGAAGCAACATGAGGGTTATCTGTCTATGGGAAGAGATGCCATCGTGAAAAATTTCCTAAGGGAAACTGGCTCATATTCACAGTACAACCGAAATAAGCCACAAAACCTCTAATGTTTTCCTGGACTTTAACCTGGGTTGAACTGCCAGTGTTCAGTGATCTTACCACTCTCCCCTTGGTGATTTTCTCCATGAAGGCATCCCTATGTTGAGGCAACTAGTCCTAACATGCATTGTCAGAATTGAATAAACAGCATGCATTCCACTTTCAATGAACCGAAATTTTTTGGTGCAGCTGCTAATAATGGCTAATAACATTTTCAGACACTTTTTAAAAAAGTTCTCATTTTAATTCACTTTCCCTTCTTTTTTTATTTTTCAGACTTTACTAGATTTTTCAGGTGAGTGGAAATTCTGAATACTTCCTGACAATTTAAATTAAGAAGCAACCAAGGAATGAATTCCATAGGTTTCATGTCCCTCTTACTCTAATATTAAATTCTCAAGAGCAATTTTACTTCAACAAACTTTACGTACTCCCATGTCACAAATACCTGGAATTTGAACCCTGATCGAATGTTGAAGAAATTCTGCACTAATCACTACTCCAATCTACAATCACACCATTCTGCAATCACCACACCATCTTGGGCATTTGTTATGCAGGAGCCAATATCATAAAAATCTGATACCTACCACTATTTTGTGGTTATAATCATTCAGCTACAGCTATTGCTGAGGACTGAAAAATAAGTATTTGAATACCAAAAAACATTGAAAACTGTTAACAATTCATATACTTTCAATACATTACAAACCACTAATAGTGAAAATGGTATATTATTGATGCTCTAATTACAACAGCATATGTAAAATCAGCACATAATATTATAATTCATTTTCTGGAGTGAAGAATAAATTTTATCCTTGAGGAAAAGGAAAGCAAGGAAAGAGCAAAATGAAAATGCATGCTTACACAAACACAACATCTCCATGCTTTGCATATGCTGGTATAGCACTAGATATAGTAGAAAAACCATACGAATATAATACAGCTTCTTCCACCTTCATAAACTGGGCGAGATTTGCTTCCAGCTCCAAATGAATATCTGAAAGTTTGAAAACAGTTAAAAAATTTCAAATACAACAAAAATTTAATTGTTACTGTGAAATAAAAATATCTGAGATCTAGTTCATTTACAAAAGAGTCCTACAAACTTGACATCATGAGGACCAGAGTAGGAAAAATGACTGAAAATGTCAAGTTTTACTTAATAAGAGAGGGGTCATTTGCAACTCATAATATTTTGTCCAATCCATGGCAATTTTATTAACACTTGCATCTTTATTCTTTACTTTTCCTCTTTACTCTCTTAAAGCATCCAGTTTCATTTCTATTGTAATATTAATTCGTTTGTTCATATTCGACATTTTCACCTGTACAGTACTTGCAAAGCCTGGATATAAACTGAAAAACTTTAAATACAATAAATTCAAAGTTTAATTTATAATTTTGTACAGCAATGAAACTTATGGCAAGAATACTAACTGCTAGCTACAGAAATGAATGTGAATGATAATCGATAGCTGCTGCCTGACTTTCTTCAGCCAATTTGTTACTGAAAGAATTAATGGGATGGATAGAAACTGCAATTGGGGGGAAGGGGGACCTGCCACCAGATTTGTCACACAGGCTCCAAGAAAAGTATCACAAAAGGAAAGAAACAAAATATTGCAAAATTAGAATATCATAACAAATCTTTTAACAGAATAAGAAAACATGCAGACATTCATTCGCATACATACATACTGTGATTACAAAATTACAATAATTAAAATTTACTTAAATACTGTTTGCATCATGTAGTCAATGCTACAAATTATTACTTTTAATAAATTAGCTATGAATAAACTAGCACATTATTTCAAAGATAATGTTCTACTTGAACACCAGAAATCATTTAACGATTTAAAAACGTTGACCATTGAGTTATATGAAATGTGAAGAAATCGGGAATTCAAGTGGAGGATTCTACTGTTATTAAACTTCAGCTAGTCAAAATATTCATTGGTAGATCCAAAAGTTTTTGTTCTAGCATATATAAAAAAAATGTTTGGCACTAAATTCCTCTTCCAAATTTGTAGCAGCAATACTAAACAAGTAAATTTGAAAGCTTCACTTGCAAAACTGCATGCATTTTTTTCTGACTACTACACGAATAAAGTAACGTTCTAGTTGAACAAATGAGTAGAACAATTTCACATGAACCGTGGCCTTCGAGAACAAGGCCTTACAGCTCAGTGACGTAGAGCGCGTGACGTCAGTACAGAGAGTGCACTCTTCTTTGGGTTTGAGGGCAGCGTTGGGTCAAAGGTTATTGTTAGTCGCCATTGCTACGAGAGAAGTGGTTGAACTGCAATTATTGACCTAAAATCTTGGTATATACCGTGCTTTTTCGTAGTCGGACACTTTAAATTTAAGTTTTTTTTGCAATTTGTGGGTTGTTCCAGAAACAATATAATGTCTTACATGTGTTCAGTGCCGCGATGCAACTGAAATTACAATACATATTTTCGCAGATGTTGATGCAGATGTGAAATTGGATACGTGCAATAAAACGGAAGGACTTCATTCGGACTAAAAACAGCAGGGTGAGGTTTCATTACTATGATTTTATTGATATTTAAAGAAAACTAGATTAAATATTTGATGCATTTACTATGTCTATTTTTAAAGCTAAAATTATTTCTACTGAAAAACTAGTATAAAATATTAAAAAAGTAAACAATAACTAGTGTAAAATATAAAAGCAAACAACAAACTAATTAAGTCCATAATACTACAGGATTATTTAATGTATTGTAAATTTTGTTTCATGTATTGCTGAAACGCTGTGCATTATGATTATATATTAATCATATAGCATTAAATGATTTGTAATATCTAATTACTTCAGTTTTATTTTTAATGTACTTGTCATTATAGATTTAAAGATTTAAAAGTAATAATGTTTTTCATTTAAAAATTCAAATTTGTGTTTTTCACAAATTCGTGTTATCATTTTTTAAAATTTATTCTTTTTTTGTCATATTTTCAAAATTTTTGTGAAAATTGTAATTAATATTATATTTTTAAAAATATATAAACAAAACTTGAAAACAATATTGTTACACCAGTTGCTTATAAAGCTTAGACTTTCCCCCCCCCTAAAATTTTGCTGTCACGTTTTTTAAATTAAACTTCATACATTAGCAAAATGCTATATTTTTTAAAAGCTATAGAATATATGATGTTTTAAATGGATGCAATAGAATAAACAATTAAAAAAGATTAAATATACTGGGAGAATGAAGTGCTTTTGCAAGGGACGTCCGGTATCCTATATTATCATTCACTTTCCTGATCTGATATAGGCTTTACCACGTGTGCTTCGGTAACGAGATGTGGGAACCTCGGCTAACTGCCTTGCATATTTTAAAATTTAAAACGTAATTCTGAAGTGTGTTCCTTTCAAAATGTTGTCTATTAAATTTTCAGAGAATTATTATTTTTTCCCCTTTACAATTCCCTAAGGATACACATAATTAATCCAAAAAATCAAAACTCACACCTAGTTGCAGGCACACTAGAGAGCTACGAAATTAACTATTATGATCATAAACTCTAAAGTGGACATATCAAGATTTCGCTAAAAAGTAATATAGAATAGTAAGAATTCATATCGCAATTAAAAAAGTGTTTAATAAAGACAGTCGGCAAAATTAAAGTAAAATGATTTTCTGTGACAGATTAAAAATAGATCTTTGGTTATTACTCTGTAAGAATCTGGATCACTGTAAGTTTAATAATTATTTTAATAATAACAATAGCACCATTTGACAGTTTAAAACAATGCTGACATTAAAAATTATCATTAAAAAATAAATTTTAATATATTTATATCGATAAATAAATTATGAAATATTCCTTTTTAATATTAAGTTTATTATAAAAGATCTTCAACACTAAAATTTGTTTAAACAATAAATGTAATAACCCGAAAATGCTAGTTCTTTCATTTTATCGCCATACTGAAGAAAATTAAATATTATTTAAAAAAGTCTAAGAAAAAGTTGGTTCTTGTAAAATGCTCTTTTTATTCATATTTTTCATGTTTACATATGAATGAAAAATAATATGCAATGTTTCGTTTCCAGTTCGAAAGCTTAACATTTTCTCGTTATGAAGTGTTGGAAAGTTTATCCAATCTATGGAAAATAAAATGGGACTAATATAAATAATTATTAATCATCCAGGTGAAAATTTTTATCAAGTATTAAGAAAAACAAGCTCAGATATCTGAAGTCTTAAAGCATGATATATAATAAATAAATATCATGCTTTAAGACGTGATAGTATCATTTATTTATAACGTGATAGTATCATTTATTTAATGATCTCCTATTTACTTTACATCAGAATAACATAAAATTAGCTTCTCTGTTAAATTAGCGCGCTGTGGGTTCACTAGCTTCGAATGCAGGAGAGAGATTTCTTCGCACTCCTCATCGTGATGTCACGAGAGAGCTGGACGGCCTTGTTTCTCGAAGGTCACGCATGAACTGAGAATCCACATATAATGATTCTCATAAAAGTTGACTATTAGAGGCACTAACATTAGAAAATATTGGTCATGCCCAAAAGGAACTAATAAGTGACAAAGCTCAAAACTAAAGGAGGTAGCAGCAAGACTGATTCTATCTAAAATAAAAGTTGCAAACTTTTTTTTTTTTTTTTTTTTCTTGCGGACCACCTCAGTCCTAAGTTTAAGTATACAGACCCCCATATAAACATACGGAATATTTCTAAATGACACATTTACATTAAAAGTTAATAATTATATAGTAGTTTAACATACACTAAGTGAAATATTTATTTACACATTGTTGAAAAAAGTAATTAAATAATTGCAATGTAAAGGAAACTGTAAAATAAAGTTTAAAAAATATATATAAATAAAAGGCTGCTCTGCTCTTACACCACTGCCTGTAGGTACAGGCGTGAAAAGCAACCTAAATTGCACATGTTTTCAGATATTTAAAATGACATCTGCAGTTTCATGCCTCCACTCCATGTTAATCTTAATTCCCTAACCTACCTTTTCCCTCCCCCACAAGTTATTTCATTTGCATTAAAAAGTTTGTAACTTGTCGAATATCTGTTATTTTTTTCTCAAAAAAAAAAAAAAAAAAAAAAAAAGGTAGGTTAGGGAATTAAGATTAACATGAGGCATGAAACTGCAGACATCATTTAAAATATCTGAAAACGTGCAATTTAGGTTGCTTTTCACGCCAGTACCTACAGGCAGTGGTGTAACAGCAGAGCAGCCTTTTATTTATATATATTTTTTAAACTTTATTTTACAGTTTCCTTTACATTGCAATTATTTAATTACTTTTTTCTTGAACTTAACTTGAATATATAGTAAATATTTTGGCGATTATTTTTATGGTTCGAATTTTTTACCAAATAACTAGATTTGGCGATACGTTAATCCGGTCCCTATAACGGAGCAGTAAGTATTAATGATTTCTTCTTTAAGAACTTTCTATTCATATAATTTCCCCATTCACTGAAGAAGATTCCAGAAAGTAAAAGTATCTTCTAACTGCAAATGTGTGGACAAGAAATATGCAGATACAGGAAAGATACAATTTGAAGTCTTGTTTAGAGCAGTGGCAGCAGAAAGTTATAGCTTCAAGTAAAAAAAAAAAAAAAAAAAAAAATCTAAAAATCTTCAAAGCTATTTTAGAAACAATTGCCAAATATCTTTTACCTGAAGAAAAGAAAAACTGTAGCCAAAATTAGCCAATCCTTCTCCATTAACATATAAGTAACGGATTTTCTCCAATTTTTTAGAAGTATATCCATATCAGAAACTTTCAAATCTACCCACATAATTTTTAATAAGGAGTTTTAAAGAGTGGTAAATCTACAAAATATCTCACAATATATCATTCATGGGTTGCAATACTGGTGTAACTTTAAAACTATGACTGTTCCACTGTAAAACTGTCTGTTTTGCTAAAAAAACACTGGCATATATTTTAGCTCAGTCCTGCATTAACA